ACTTTATAAATTTAAGTCCCAAATGTCCACTCAAGGCATATTAAAAACTTTAAGCTTTAAATTGCTTTTTTTTTTAAAGAAGTGCCTGAGAATTAAGTGGAACTGTATTTTATTTTTTTATCTTTCTGACTACTAAACAGATGGTATTCAGACAAATGTGCCAAAACTACTGGCATGGCCTTAAAAGATATTCCTCACCTTCATGTTCTATTTATCCACCCTCCTTTTTGAGCCCTTACCATGCTTGCCAGGAAGGCAAAGTAGACTGTAAATTTCTACAATCTGGCCAATTTGTGAGCAAGGGATGCTATTATAAACAGATACACAATGCTGTGTAGTGGGGTGCCCTGCAGGGCTACCAATTTATCAGGAGACACACACTCAGTAATTCGAGAACCACTCTCTGAGATTGCTGAGAAGTGGTTTAGAGTAAACTATGTAGACTGATTGTTAGTATCTTTATATATTTATCTATACCATTTTATGCTGGTAGAGTGGCTCAAATGGTAGAGTCCTGACTAGCAAGCATGAAGCTCTGAGTTCAAATCCCAGTGTTTTCCCCCAAAAAAAGGCGGGGGTGGGGATGTGGGTTGAAGGTATAGCTCAAGTGGTAGAGTACCAGCCTAGCAAAGTATAAAGCCTGAGTTTAACTCCTAGTACTGCCAAAATAAAAACAAAAAGCATGTCTCTAACTATTGTTATATATAGTCTCAAAAGACAAGAAATATAAATTATATGAAATAATTCTCTTCCCAAATGTTTAAAAAAAATGATGACCATCTAGGTTTTTCCTTTTATTCTTTTTTTGTGGTGGGACTGGGATTTGTACTCAAGGCTTTACACTTACAAAACAGATGCTTTATCACTTAAGCCACACTTCCAGTTCATTTTGATCTGATTACTTTGGAGATAGGGTCTTGTGAACTATTTGCCTAGCTGGTCTCAAACCACAATCCTCCTAATCTCAGCCTCCCAAGCAGCTGGGATTACAGGAGTAAGCCATGGGAACCTGGCTACAAACTAGCTTTTGTTTTGAAATCACCCAATTTCTCTAGTTCTTTCAGGAAGCTGCACAGCCTCCAAGGCCAAAGACCATGTCTGCAATCACTGTTTCCAATTGTCTCCCTCTTTCTCTCTCCATGGTATTGGCTATTCATGGTATAATGCAGCAGGAGTACAACTCAGCATAATGAGTCCTTATCCACACATCTTTTTAAAGGTCAACACTACCTATTACTGATCTCTTCCAATCTGGTATTCAGTCACAAAGATTAAAAAAATAAAAATATATCGCTCCACTTAACTCTCAAGTACTGACCTAAATGAACGTTGGTTTTCCTGTAAAGACACTGTTTCCTGAAACTCTTCCACTGTCTAAAAAGAGAGCTGTCCCCGCAGACTTCCCAGTCAGATGATTGAGAGAAATAAGTGTTAGTTGCCACTGATATTATGGAATTTTTGCTAGGCAGCATGGATACCAGTGGTTCACTATTCTAGAAACTGATACCAGAACTCTAAAATGTATGGTACTGACTTTAAGACAGGGTGATGAGAGACAAGGAAATAGTTGCCAGAGCTTGAGACATGGAGACACAATATACAACAGTGAAACAACTGGTAAATAATGTCCTGCAATAAGCTGGAAGGCAGAAAATATATCAAATGAAGTTGCAGCAAGGTCATCTTCATTAACTCACAGACCTCCTAAGAGAGAAATAAGTGTCATTGTGAGACATCATGCTCAACAAGAGTTAAGTGTCTCAAAAAAGGCAGTCATTCCATTTGTCTACTAGATCTCTAGCTATCAGAGAATATTGCTGGAGCAGTTTATCCTTGTCGTGAATTATCACATTTGCTTGCTCTACATATTCAATCCAAACAGTAAACACCTTGTAATGTCACTCTTTAAAGAAAAAAACAAAAACAAAAAACCCATTCCTGTCCATACTCGCCTATACAGTTACTGCTCCATTTCTCTCCTCTTTTTAAGGCAAAAACCTCTAAAGAGCTACACGTATGTATTCACTGTATTTTTCTCCTTCCATTCTCTCTTGAACTCCTATCAATCATGTTTACACTTTTAACACCTCAAGATTATGTGTCACCTGTGTTGCTGAATGCAATCATTTCTCAACCTTCATTCTGCCTGATCACCAGAAACACTGGAGACAACTGTTTATTCCCTATTGTCCAAAACACTTTCTTCCCCACTTGGTCTGCATATATAGTGAAATTTCCTTGTATACGGATTATGTAATCATCCTGCCAAATCAAAGAGTAGCCATGTTGACAGTGTCACCAATGAAACAGGGATGGAAATGACTTTAAACTTTTTTTTTTACAACCCTTAAGAGCCATACATGTGATGGCATGTGCTTTTCCCTCTATCATAACAACCAGCAATAGTCTAGATCAGGAACAGGCACACTATGTATGGCCTATGGGTCAGATCTGGCTCTCTGCCTTTTAAACAAATAATTGTGATGGAAACACAATTATGTCCATTCATTTATTTACTGTCTATGGCTAAGTAGTTAGGTCAAAGACTTTATGGTCCACAAAGCCTCAAATATTTACTTTCTGTCTCTTTCTAGAAAAAGTTTGCCAATTCTTGTCCTAGACAGAGGCTGCTCTGTCATTCTGGGTAGTGAAATGAAGATGATGTGGAGCAGAACATTTAGCAAATTTCAGATGGACACAGCCTGAGTGAGAAATAAACTTTCTAAACATCTGAGTGCCACAGGGTGCAACACTTGAATCTCTTCTCTTCAGCCTGTATTCACTTTCTTAGTGAACTTACCTAGTTTCAAAACTTTAAGCATCTACGAACTGATGATTTCCAATTTTATATACCTTACCTAGACCTCTCTCTAAACTCATAATTCATGTAACTGCCCAATTAAGGTCTCCAATTATTAAAACAGACTTTTTTGGTCAAATAAGCATTTTAAATCTATTGTGGCCCAAATCTCCTGATCTTCCATGAAGACTTTTCCAACAAAGTAAAGGGCAACTTCGCTCTTTGGACTGCTCAGGCCAAAACAGTTAGTGACATCCTTAATCCCCCCTTTTCTCTCATTTCCCACATTCAACTGGTCAGCAAAGTCTTTGGATCTATCTTCAATATATGCCCAAACTCTGATTAGTATATCTTATAACCTTCAATACACCATCTAGTACAGACCATCATCATCTTTCACCAGTATTATTTCAATAGTTCTTCCTACTTCCAACCTTGCCCTACTACAATATATTTATTCTTAGCATGGTAGACACAGTAATTCCTTAAACACTAAAGTCAGTTTATTACATCTTCGTAATTCTCCAATGTGTTTCCAAGTCACTCAAGTAAAAATCAAGTTCCTGTCAGAATCTGCCCCTCCCCTCACTTCCACATCTCCTCTGCAGTCACTCTCCCCCACATCATCCACGCTACTGTTGCTCTTGCTGATCTTTACAGGTTCAAGCAGGCTACTACTGCGGAATCTTTGTGCTTGCTGCTCTCCTTATTTGGAATGCTCTCGCCCACAAATCCAAGTATAAACACCTTCATCAGGTCTGCTCCAATGATACCTCAGTGAGTCCCTCCCTGTCCATTCTATTTAAAAGTACAACCACTCTAGAACACTTACCATGTATGACCTATAATAGTATTTTACTTAACTGTTTATTTATTTATTTTCTCCTCAAAAAGAATGAAAGCTCTCAGAAGCAAGGATTATTAGTGTCTTCTTTTAGAACTGTCTCCCTACTGCCTATAACAGTGCCTGGACATACATTCAATATCTATTGAATTAAAGAATGAATTTGTAGGATAAGAATAGGGTCTAGCCTAAAGCTTACATTTTTAAGTTATAAACTAATAAACCAGGTACTTAGACTGGCAAAGAAATGCTGCAGTGAGTGAAGACAAAGATGACTATAATAAAATATTTTCTGACTTTGGGAATAACTTTTTTTCCTTTTCTCTCACAGCGAAGGAAATAAAATACAGAAATTATGAGGACTAGAATTCAACATGATTATATTTAGAGCCCCTGGCCTGTAGCCCTATTTTCAAAATTACAGGTTTTTTTTTTAATCTATCTAATATACTATGTTTCACCACTAGAAGAATTTTACTCTCAGGGAGTACATTTTTATGGCACAACAGCTTCCTAAGAAATGAATAAAACATTCAACTGTAGTTCTCAACACAGAAAACAATTTACTCAATAGGAGCTAAGATCTGTTTTTTGAAATGCAGTGTATAAAACTCAACTTTAGCCTTCAACTAACTGCCTTTCATTCTTTTCCTTTAGTTGCCAGTGTTTCTTAAAACTAGAAAAAAAAAAGTTAAATTACTACTCCAAGACTCCATATTAATAAAAATAACCATTTATAAGCCAATTCTTCTAGAAGAGAAAAATATAAAATGGAGCTGAGAATATTTGTAAATAAGCACAGTATAAGCACCCCTTGAATGAAAGCCTGTTTACTTACCATGCAGACAATATGTATTTGCTAGCCTTGAGAACAAATAGGACATTAAATTAAAATGAGCACTTCTGTCATCAGAAATATGATATGAATATAGCCACTAGATCTATATATAAAATATGCTACTTAAGCAAGATTAAATTTAATTTTGCTAAGGGGAAACAATCCAACAAAACTGGAAAAAAAAAAAAAACCTGAGGGGGAACAGGGAGAAGAAAAGAACCCAGTCTTTATTTTAAATGTTGCAATGTCAAATCTAGCAAGCCTTTGAAGATTACTTTGATATCTCTTTTCCCAGAGGAACTCATTACTTGTGTTTCAGTGATGGCAGGGCAGTACTGATAGACACTGGCTTCCTTTTTAAAGATTTCTTTTTTTTTGTGGCAAATCAACAAACTAATCATACCATTTTCTAATTCAGTTAATGGGCATCTTTGCTATACTAAGATCAAGCCAATATATTTATTTCAAGTAAAGGTTTAAATTGTTTTGTAACTATGGTCACTTTCATTTTTACTTACCAAGTCCTAAAAGATCAACAGTGGGCTCTGCAGCTTTTTTAGGGCTGGTACTTTTTTTGCTCTCTAGCTGTTGATCTTCTTTCTTCTGCAGCTTTAAAGTAAATAAGACTTATTAATCTTTTTTCTTAAACCAAATAAATCTTAAAGCTCAAATAATCATGCATACTTTTGATATAGTTAGTGTAATGAAGAGCACAAGCATTTGTTATTATGTAAGAGACAAGTTAAAGGATCTTTGAATTTGTTACGAAAATCCTTACACGTTTGAAACCCAAAATAGTGAATATATACTATTTCTGATAAAATTGTTCTTAATCATTATACCCTTTGTGTGAAGTTACACTTTTTGAAGAAATGCATTTCATATGAGAGTTCCTTGCTACTATTAATGTATTTCTATTAGCTGAGGTTGGGAATGTCCTGGGCATCTTTATGAGCATGATTAGTCCCATTATCCACATTACAGATACATGTGAGATCCCACAGTACTAAAAGAAGAGCAATGAAATGTTACTTGATATGCTTATTCTTGAGTCTCCACAATTAGTTACTTTTTCAAAATAAATGTCTTTCACTTCTCAGGACCCCAAATCACAGTTACACATTCCAAACTCTGTTTTTCTCATGAAAGAAATGTTGCGTAGGACATGATGAAAAGACCTATAACTACTGGATTCTCAACTCTAAAGCCAACCCCCCTCAAAAAAAAAACTCAATTTGTAAACCATTTCTACAAGGTCATTTCTACTCTCACTATTCATAACTTATTGTTATGAGTTCTCACTTTTGTTACCTATTGTTACAGAAATACAATTTGTACACCAATTGTATCTGCCTCACTTGTCTTTCAAGTCACCACTGTCTCCTCTCCTTCAGACACTTTCTTTGACCAATAAGAATACCATCACAGATAATTTACTCTCAAATGCAGAAATATTAGCCCCAAACTATACATAATTTATAGAAGTTTAACATAACCCATTTCACGTGCTCTACTCTTTTACTTTGAAACCTCTAGCATAGGTTAAGGCACAACTTGCTTAACAAAAGGACTTTAAAATAATTTCAGGGGCTGGGGATGTGCCTCAGTGGTAGAGGTGGTGCTTTGCCTGCTGGAGGCTCTGGGTTTAATCCCAGATTGATTGGTTGATAGAAAGATAGATAGCTAGATATTAGATAACAAAGAAAGCATAATTTTTTACAATTCATTACTAAAACTACTATAGCTTCTTCTTTCCCCTTTTTCTCCTTTCCTCCATTTATTTAATTTGCTGGACAACACTGGTATTATAAGCACTCAAATCTGCAAGGGAATCTGAGGATCAAGTAGCCACACATACACAAATTTCAAATATTCCAAGCAGGATCCTGGGATGGTCTTCATTGGTCATACCACTGTCTGCTTCCTATGTAAGCATATTTATGCTTAGTAGGCACTTAAAAATCTAATCCAAAAACTTTAAACTAAAAAAAACTTAGATAATTGTAGACTAACTAGAATTCCTATTTTCTGCCACCCAAATTTAGAATTCTTTCACTAGTAAAATACTTTACTGAATCTTCTACACATAGAGGCATGAAACAAGAATCCAAAATTGTGAGGGACCCTTCCTGGTCACTCTTTAATGGTTTAAGAATCTGGAACCCCTCCAAGTTAAAATAGTATTTCAAAATGATTCAAATCAAAATTACAGTTTATGATGCTTTTGCCAACAAATCAGAATTACTTTTAAAAATACTACTAAGTATGAACTAGCCATCATTGTTTGAAAAGGGGAACAAAAGCCAAATCAAAGAATGCAGAGGACCTTTAGTAACTGTAACTCCCACCCCTAGAACTACTACAAATAATTTGCAAAATGTCTTTACTTCCAGATGTCCACATATCTATTTGTATCCTAAGAGCTTATCTTTCTTAGATTTTAATTATATCATAGTTTAAACAGTTATTCATCAACCATTTCCACATGAAACTATAATAAAGAACCTATAAATAGCTAGGCAGAGAAACTTTAAGGCAACAATAAGGGAATATCCTAAATAGTTAAATCGTAGGTGTGGCCCATGAGCAGGCTTTGGAATCTATTTCACTGACTGAAATTAAAAATTTTGGCATTAAAAAAAAAAACCAGAAAGAAAAGAAACAGACATAAGTGTATTGCATAAAGGAAAGTATGCATGAACTGTTTTGCACATTTGCACCCATACATGAGCACAAATCTGGATAATTTAAATATATTTCTTACCAAAATAGTAGGTTGAAAAACACTACTCTGTATCTTTGCTCCTACAATGGGTCAAATTATGAGTAAACAATGTCTATGACTTGTCCATGACAAGTAGAACTGGTTATTCTAAAAGGATTTCAAGGGGGCTGGTACAGTGGCTCAAGTGGCAGAGTACCTGCCTAGCAAGTGTTGAGGCCCAGAGTTCAAACTCCAGTGCCACCAAAAAAAAAAAAAAAAAAAAAAAACCAGGATTTCAATTAATTCAGGCGTGGATTACCCTTAGAGTTCACATATGATTACATGCCCCACAAATCAACAAGGCAAAAGAATTAATCACTTTAAAAGCTATGTGGTATTTGTCCATCCTCAAATCTTAAAAGGCAACAATTTGAACCCATCCATGTGTGGCAAATATATTTTTTGAGATTACTCTTCCATACCCTCATGGTACTACTTTAAATATACTAGTAAATATTTATATACTAGTAAATATTTTATTTATATACTAGTAAATATACCATGTTCTACTTTAAATATACTAAAGTGTATTTAGTAAAGTGAAAAAATAAACATAGGTTAAACTCAGATGATATCCATCTTTTATTAAAAAATGTAAACACAAGAGATTACCCTCATTGTTTCTATTTTGAAACATTCAAGAACACAAATACTAATGCACAAAACTATATAGGTAAGGAATCATCCTAAAATTCTAGACAGAATAATACTTAATCTTTTAGTGCTGAATATCCATAAAGATACTAATTTTCTGTACAATCCCTTGAATGAATTTCCAATAAAGATTGAACATTTTCATTTATAATTCATTTTAAAGATCTCTGTGTAAAACAACAAGGAGAACATTTATTTTCCTAACCCTATGATGAGTAATAATATCTAAAAATACAGACTCACAGGATAAACAAAGTCTTAGCTTATATGTTGCCACTATACAGGTTCAAAAAAAACCAAAATGTGCAATTCTCTAACAAAAGATACACATACAGACTATTTAAAAAACCTAGTTATTTCATTACATTATACATTTAAGCCTAAGACTATCACCATTCAATTGAATAAAGCCTATTTCGAAATAAGTGCATCTAGCCATTAAATCTTGTCCACTGCCGGGGCTGCGCAATACTGTCATATTATAAAAGCTGACAAGAGAGCTACTCCAGTTTTGAATGAGGAAGATTATACATGGTCTTAGGTACTGAAGTAGAAAGAAACAGATGACTTGCCATGGTAAGTTTCTTTGCTACATTGTATAAATCCAGCATTTCAAAAATCAAAGACTTAATATCAAGTTAGAAATCATTTTCTGTTTATCACTCATTACATTATCTGTAGCAACAAGGCAATATGATAGCTTTTAAATAACCTGGATTTATTACGAAGGGAACAGCAGTATGCTGTTTACCTTGAAAACTCTATCTCAAAGCTACTACAAAGTCTATTTAATTTCTACAACAAAGCACTATCTGTTCAGCCCCTCCCTCCCTACCTCTCTCTCACACTCACTTTAAAACATGTATCACTAATGTTAATATTCAGAGAATAAGTATAAACAAATTTCCAAAACATATTCCAACTAAACACTTTGGTTAACAAACATATGTATAATAGGTTATGCCTTTGTTCTATAGGATTATCAATTCTATTGTACCTTGCAAAAAATAGCAAGATAAAATTATTTAAGATATTTGAAATATAGCTCTCATATAAATACAAAGTATGTGATATTAATATCTTCAAACTAAATTTTAGAAGATTTAAGAATAAAAATGCTATTATCTTGTTAGAATTATGAGCAGGGATTACTGAGTGTGAAAGCAGTAAATCAATATTGTAACAATCACACCTTCCCTCATATAACTGCTATCCTGTGATAGTTCACATTTTGCTCAGATATGGAGAGCAGTACTGTAAAATCGTTTTCCTTTAAATTCTCCTCTATTAAAAATACCACATAAAGAATTTGACTTTAATAAGTGAAGAATGAAGCTCTGAATGGATAAAATTAGACAATCTATAATTTACTTAAGTAAAATTTTCTAACAAGCAACACAAATCTACTTAGTTAAAACAACTTTATAAAATGTAATTTTCTTAGGTTCACATTGAGCAGCTGTCTCATTCAAATTATTAAAGCTTTCATTAGCAGAAACTTCACTACCCAATATTTTTATGATTCATAATCCTACTCTATAGAATATAATTGAATAAAAATCATTTAGTACTAGCTGTTACATTTACCAACATTTCCTACTCCCATAAATAGCAGACAAAACAAATGGCCTTAAGAACATGATTGACTATTCCTTAGATGGCCAATTAATGTAGATAACAGCATTAAAATATATTTTAAGAACAGGAAAGCTATACAACTTTCTAAGTTGTAAAGGTAATTATTCAAATTTTTCTTTAAAAACTGGCTACTTCTTAATATAACCAGTCTCTTTTAACTAGAAGGAAACATAAAATCTTTTATTTCAATCCTATCCTATTGTGGTTAAGAAAATAAAAGTCACCAGCTTTGTCTAAAGCCTCTATAAGTAACTATAATGACAGAGGTTAATTCCTTCATGATGGCTTTTACTAAATAATTTCTATTTATCACAAATTAGATTTTAAAATAAACATAGGATAAGTATCCCTAATGCAGAAATTCAAAATGCTCCAAAATCCAAAACATTTTGATCACCATGACCACCAATGGAAAATTCTGTGCCTGATCTCATGTGACAGACTACAGTTCAAAACACAAGAACAAAACACAGTTTTATTCAGCAACTTCAAGGGAAAAAAAGACCCTCCTAGCCCATCTAACTGCAATACACAAATTTTGTGCACAACATTG